AGCATGTAGGCGACCTGCAGGCGAGCACCGCTGCCGAGTATTACAGATAACTACTTGATAGGAGTGGAATGCCATACTCCTCCCTCACGTCGTAGGAAATGGGAAGGCCCATCCATGTACGTGACAGCGCAAACGCTGAGTACTCTGGTGAGTTTGGTGAGCTTGCTGATCGTCTGGCTGACTGCCTGGACGTGCGAGCGAGCTCAGCGCTTGAGTTGACTTGACTCGTGCAGGCGAGTCAAGTGTTCAGGCGAGTTTCAAATCGCCCGGCGGATTGCCTGAATGTGCAGGCAAGCTCAGCGATCGCGTGGACTTGACTCTTGCTGGCGAGTCAAGCACGCTGGCGAACTTCGTTCATGCTGGAGAACTCAACTCTTGAGTGGACTTGATTCGTGCAAGCTTGTCAAGCATGCAGGTGGAATTCATGCCTTTCTGAGGTTAAGGCAATTTTTATAGCATACAATACTTTCAGTTTACTTCTAAAAATTAAAGCAAACGGCTACGATATGAGGACACAACGTGGCAATTTCTCACCAACTAAAATTCAAGTAGTTCACAGTATTGCATAATTAGTTTTAAAGTTTAATTATACTCTTATTATTTAAATAGAACTCTATTCCAATTGATATCATCTCACATGCAACATCACATACTAATATATATAAGCTAATAAATTACAACAATTTCTATAGCACTTTCATCTTCTTCTACAGATATATGCCTTTGTTATTTTCTTCTTATTAGATTAAAGTAGATTATTTTAAAGCAATTATTTATATTGTATATTTGATCTTTTTTTCATATCAAGAAATATCAACAATTTTCACAGCACTTTCATCTATTTTCTTCTTATTAGATTAAATTAGATTATTTTAAAGTAATTAATTATATTGTATATTTGATCTTTTTCAGATTAAAAATTGCAATAAGTTTTATAGTATTTTTATCTCTTTCAACGGGTATGTGTATTTATTATTTTCTTCTTATTAAATTAGATTAGATTGTTTACAAATTATAAATTATAAAATTGCAATATTTTCACATCATTTTCATCTATTTTCTTCTTATTAGATTAGATTAGATTATTTTAAAGCAATTACTTATATTGTATGTTTGATCTTTTTTTAGATCATAAAGTTTAATTATACTATTATTTTTTAAATAGATATTGTTTGTATAAAAATCAGAGAGAATCTCACACATCACTACAACAGACAGATTTTTTAGCGACCAACTTTTTTGCGAGAAAATTATTTTCCTCAACAAATATTACTTTCGACGAGGAAAATATTGTTTCCTCGGTACATATCAGTAGGTCTTCTACGAGGAATATATTTTCCTCACAGTAGACCACCTTCTACGATAAAAATTTTAGTTCCTCACTAAAGATGATCATGATTTAGTCTCCTGACTAGTTATTTTATTAGCGAGGAAATATGAGATTTTGGTGATGAACTTTTCCATCGCGAAATGCACATTTAACGAGGAAATAATCATTTCATCGCTGTTCTTTTGGCATACAATAGAGGAAAACCCGCCAAATGTAACAGCGACAAAATATGATTTCCTCGCTGAAGATCCATAATCTACGAGGAACCATTTCCTCATCAAAAGAATTAATTAGCGAGGAAATAATACTTTTCTCGTTATTAGTTTGGCGGGAAAAAACAAAACCCGCCAATTTCAATGGTGACAAATTTAAGGATTCCTCGCTAAAAGTTTTTGTTTTTACGAGGAACCGTTTCCTCGTTAAAAAAAACCTATTAGTGAGGAAATTATAGTTTCCTCACTATTAATTTGGCGGAAAATTTTGCAACACCCGCCAAATTCATGACGACAAATTAAAGGTTTCCTCGCTAAAATTTTTATTTTACGAGGAACTGTTTTCTCGTTAAAAGAACCAATTAGCGAGGAAATAATAGTTTCCTCAATATTAGTTTGGCGGAAAATGTGCAAACCCCGCCAATTTCAATAGCAACAAATTTAAGGCTTCCTCGATAAAAGTTTTTGTTTTACGAGGAACCGTTTTATCGTTAAAAAGAACCTATTAGTGAGGAAATTATAGTTTCCTCATTATTAATTTGGCGAAAAAATGTGCAACACCCGCCAAATTCATTAACAACAAATTAAACGTTTTCTCACTAATTTTTTTGTTTTATGAGGAACCCTTTCCTCGTTAAAAGAATCAATTAGCGAGGAAATAATAATTTCCTCATTATTAGTTTGGCGAAAAATATGCAAAACCCGCCAAATTCAATGGCGAAAAATTTAAGGCTTCCTTGCTAAAAGATTTTGTTTTGTGAGAAATCATTTCTTTATTAAAAAACCAATCAGCGAGGAAATAATAATAACCTTATTATTCGTTGGCGAAAATTTTGGTGGGAATTTGGGTAAAAAGTAGGCGAGTACTCAAAGAAAAGAGCGGACCTCTAATATCAATGGCCCAACAAATGTCCATATACAAGTCAACAATCGTGGGCCAATTTAGATTTTTTTTGAATAAATGTCCAGCACGAGGTAAAGCTCCAGTATGGATAGAAATAAGGATTTGGTTTGTCTGGTTGATGGTTCCTTTTTTTAGGTTTTTGCATAATTTACATGAAGATTAACAACAAAATAATATTTATTCAGGTTCAAAGGGATCCCAATGATAAAGGATTTTGCTCACAAATCTGATAATATTTAAACAATTTGTGATTTTTAAATATACATTTATTTCAGACTTCTGAAATTAGATTATGTTAATAGATAATATTAACTTTTAAAAATAGATTAAACCAAACGTGCAATGAAATCTCTTGTTCCTATTTGACATGATGTTTAAGGTATATGGTGACTATGCTTCGATATCAATGGAAAATCGTACGTGTGTGTGTGTGTGTGTGTGTGTGTCTATATATATATATATATATTTGAATATACATTGATTTCAGACTTCTGAAAACAGATTTTGTTACACTAGTAGAAAAACAACCAAATTAGACGGAACAACCTAGACGGAAAAAATTTCCGTCTAGATTGAGGAAAACTACACGAAAATTTTTCGTCTAAATTGTTCCGTCTAGTTTGAGTCATTCTAGACAGAAATTTCTATCTAGAATACCAATCTAAACGTAATAAATTTTTTTAAAATTAAAAAACTCAACCTATACGGAAATTTCCATCTAGGTTACAAGCTAGACAGAAATTTTCGTCTACGTTGATCTTAAAAAAAATACAAAAACCACAAACCCAAAACCCCAGCCGCCA